AAGCAGTCATGCATGCAGTAGTTGGGTCGGGTCTACCCATCAGTTCGCTGGCAATTTAATTTCGAATAAACCTAATAAAACTACAAAACAGGCCGGATTCCTTTCGTACCTAAATGAAGTTTCTTAGTTTGACTAATTTAAAACAATAAAATTATTGATTGAAGTTTATGCAAGGAATAAAAGTAATTAATATGACCCATTCGTTTTCTTTTTCCTAAATAAAATTTAATTTTTTTTAAAAAAAATGTAGAATATCTAAATAAGGAAATAAGAATTTTTGTTAATTAAGAATGAGAAAAGGAGTCCTATAGTATATGATTTGATCGACTCTGACCCTATTTCATTCAAATGTTTGTATTTGTACTGTTGTTCTTAGAAAAAAATGTTGAAAATCTTTAAATTTGGAGTGTTGACATTATGTCTCGTTTAAGATTATGAGATCCAAAAGAAATGAAAATAATATGAAAAATAATTTTTTATGTTTGATTAGTGAAAAAAAGTAAAAAAAGAGCAAAAGGATCGATATTTATTCTCTACCTATTAAAGCATATAGAGTTACTTCTCACCCTAAGTTTTTTGACAAGTAATCACTATAATACCATTTGACCATAAGGTCTTTTACAAGTAATATTACTCCCTGTGTTTTGTTGAAAGACATCATCAATTTTCTATTTTTATCTCTATTACTCCGTAATTCTTATCTTATCTATCAAATCATACTTTTTCACTAATAATATACTCATCACATCCTAATTTAATATTATACGTACTCGTCACACCAAGGACACAATAAAAAAGAGTAATTTACCTAAATAGGAATAAAACATAATGACTTTCTTAATATAAGATCATATGTTTTTATTTCCCAATATAGGAGCATTGGTCATTATCTATTAGTCATTATGCAACTAAATGTCCAGCATCATTTGGACATCATTCTTCTCACTGGTCATTATTTAAGTCCTATTTAAGGAATAAAAAAGTTTAAGTCCTACATTGAGAAATGACTTATGTTTTAATCCTATTTACTGCAAATTTCACAATAAAAAAGTCAAATACAAGTATATATACATTCCTTATTTTTTACATTAGTCATTTTGTCTAAATATATAGATTCCCAAAAAACATTAATCCCTACATAAAAACCATTTTGGTTAACGGATGTAGTATTATTTAAGAGAAAATAGTAAACATGAGTGATATTTTGATATAAATTTCATTTTAGTCGCACTAGGAAAAAAATGTATTCTAAAACTTTAACATAAATAAAGAAGTTATATTGTTGCATGCATGCGTTGGTCTTTCTATGGATTTATTTTTAAGAATTAATTTATCATTAATTTAAAAGTTAAATTTGTTAAAGAAATCACCTTAATTAAATAGGATTAAAACATAGAAAAAATATCAAAATAAGAGTTCTATGTTTTTATTCTCTAAATAAGAGCTTGCATTGTGGTAATGTGACACTGTACATGTGCATTTTACGTAATCTACATGGTCATGATTGATAATGTAAATGCATTTTAACTCCTATTTCGGGAATAAAAATATGTAACTCTTATTTTAATATATTTTCAATGTTTTACTTCTACTTTAGTCTTTTTTTCAATTTACTACATGTAATAATCTTTCTATGATATATAAACTCATACAATAATGTAGTCATGACTCATTTCGTTTTTTGTTCACTGAAATTTTAAGTAATTTTCTAACATAAAAATTCAATTATTTAATTCTATCGAGTTATAAAATAAATTAAACGAAAAAGGAATTTCAGTCACAAATCATGAGTTATTATCCATAGTTTTTATAGGGAGGGACGGATGGATAAATTAAAATTGTAGGTCCCCTTAATTATCATTTTCCAAGTTATTATCATTATATGCCAAATTGAAACGACAAGCCACTTTAAAAATTGTGATTAACAACCATAATAATTTGGGACAATCTTTGATTGAGTCCGATATATGTCATTATAACAACGAATGACTTATTAATGTTGCCTTAATTAAAGACATTGACACAACATGTACACATCCCATTGTCGTTAAAGGTCTACTTCCAGTCCCTTTTTGTTCAAAAAAAAAAGAATTTCTTGCTAACCATTGGTTAGGATTTTGGTGCTTTTGGATTAGATATGCATGTATGGTTCAAGAAAAAAAAAGGAAAAAGGACTTGAGGCATTTAGAATGGGGAGCATTTCCGCCCTGCCACTATGCCCAACTCCAGTCACATCAACATTCCACTGGCTTTCTATCACGTTCCAAAATCTTATAATATTGTCGTCTTGAAAATCCATCTCTCCATTTCTTTTACAATAGTCATCATTTTTTATTCAAAACTTATACTTGTATAAATTTAATACAATTATTAATTTATTAATAAAAATAGAATAATAAATAAAATAAAAGTAATAAATTCAAAATTAACAAAAATAAATAAAAAGATTAACATTAATTAAATATTAATTATTGAAATTAACAAAATAAAATTGAAATAAAAAAAGTCGAAATTGAATGCATTAAGAAAAGGGGTTTAAAGTTAAAAAAATGTAATTGAAAAAAAAAATGGATCGTCGCCAAGGAAGAAGAAGATAAAAAATGGATCAGCAAAATAAGGAATTGAGGCGCGACAGACCGCTGCAGTGGGCGGCCGCTGTGATTTTGGCCGGGATTTCAGCGTCGCCACGCTTGGGCGTGCGCCGAGGCGGACGGAACTTCTGCAATGGACGTGCGGCGCGGTGAAATCCCCCCCCCCCCCATGCATAAATGACCTCATGCCCCTAGCTAATACTTTTGAATACACATGCAAAGTATATACTCCCTCCGTCCCATAAAGATAGAGACGGTTTGACTAAAGTGGTAAATAAGATGAGATAATTTTGTGTTGACTTTTCAAAAATACTTTTGATGTGATGGGTAAAAGTAGGATGTAATATATAGATTATTAGGAAAAAAGTATGATGTGATAGGTAGGGTATGAAAAGGTAAGGGGTAAAAAGTGGTTTTTTAATAAAAACGTGAAGGACTTTAGCGTGCATCGCGGCTAAACCTCCAGCCCCCCACCCCACCGCATGCCCTCATGATTTTCTTGACTTTTCTTGATCCAAATTTATTGGACCAACAAATTCAAAAGAGTATATTGAGTTACAATATAAATTTAATAATATTTTATTTATCTTAAAATATAATTTTAAAATGTCACATTCTCACAAAGAGTATCTATATATAAATGTAGACTTTATCCACCCAGAATACTTCACTCAGCTTGAATTTCACGGAGTTTGAAAAAATTGTTTAAAATACAAAAAAATATAGTTAAAAAATGTTTAGATGAGAACAAATTCTTTTGAGTTATGAGACACATATTCATTAATCATTAATCCAAATGAAATAAAGTGATAATTCTTTTGGGGTCGTTTAGACAAAGAAATTAAGCACGGAATAATAATCAAAGTTTTGAAATGTAGATCATAAAAAATTAATCTAGAGTAATAGAAAAAACTTACTTTGGGAAAGAGCAAAAGGGGGTGAGGGTGGGGTGGGGTGGGGAATATTTTTATTTTAGGAATCTCTTTTTTAGTTTGTAGATTGTCTTTTTCCCCCATTGTGACTTACTGACTTCTGAATCCTTTATGAGTGGGATGGAATAAGGAATATTTACGAATATAGCCTTGTGACTAATCAACTATGTAGCGCACAAATTTTAATGTTAATTATGTATTGCACTTTTTTTGTATGTTAAAATATAAGGAGTAAATCTTTTAAAGTTTGAACTTTGAAGTGATGTAATTATGAATGTTTGCCAATAAAATATCGAATTTTGAAATAGCAATGGTAAAGCACATTACATTTTCTAAAGTGAACAATTACTTTAATCAAAAGGGAGAAAAAAGGAATTAACTAAATGAGGCCGGTTCTAGAGCCACTGGAGTGGCTACGGAAGCCACTGCCCCCTACGGAGCTCTGTTCATAAAATTGATGATTCCTACCCCTAACTCCCCAGTAACCCCCCCCCCCCCCCCCCCCCCCCCCC